ACTCGGGTATCTAAGACACTCTTCAGTGGTTCCCAGTAACGCATATGTGCTCTGATTTCACCTGGCCAAACTGCAATATGGTCTATTTTGAGGCCACTTTTTCCCTGCCAAAGGGATGGGCTGTGCAGCATGCATTCCCGAGGATGGATGAGCACTGATCCACAAGACGAGGCTGTGCATTGAAAAGCACTGAAGTGGTTAACCTAGCTTATAATCAGCCTTGGCATTACCATAGCAACTTGAACAGATGCGACACTTATAATCACTCATAAGAAACTGCAGTTTCTCCGTGCACACCCACAAGTAGCTGTTATAATAGAGTTTCTGCCTTGGTCATCTCCAAATAGGCGACAATATAATGCATGGGGAATTAATGAGAGGCAGCAGAACTGTCTCAGACACTACAATTTTTGCCATTATTGCTATGAATCTAAACCAACCTGTGCTTTCAAAAGGTTACAACATTTCATACCCTATTCCTCAATCGCCAGCTACATCAAGTATATTTATCAAAGCGTATCTGAGGGAAATGAGATGAGTTCACTTGTTCTGCCTAATAAAAGGGACATTCAAGCAAAAGTGACCTAAATAATCGCATCAGAGAGGTTCTATTGAAGGCTTCAAGTAGCATTTCTCTATTGCACAAGCAAGAGACCTGCAATTGCCCTTGACTCCAATTGACTTCAGAACTGTAGGTCTGATGCAAAGCCCACTAAAGTCAATGGGGGTCTTTCAATTTACTTCAATGGGCTTTGGATTGGGCCCCACATTTTCAAATACATGCACATAGTGTCATCTGCTACTTTGTAACTTATGGAGCCAAGCAAATAATTATTAGAAAGTAATTTTATAGATGATTCTTTTTGCCTAGTTGCAGATTATATTAGAGCATGTCGAGATTTGGGCGAATACATTTGTTATTCAAAATTATTCACCAGCTAGCATCGGTGAATAATGGAATGGGCTGAAATGTTTTGATTTTCAACAATCGGACCAAATTTTTATTGAAATTTTGGAAGCAAAAAGAAAGTGTGCGGGTAAAGAATTGACCTTTTTTAAAACTTTTTTTTTTTAAATCCTGCTCTAGTGCATAGCCCTCGTTCTGCTAATAGTTTATGAGCTATCCATCAAGCGTGCTCAATCTTCATCATTCAAGAGAAGTCAGTTAGTTTTGAGTGGACAGATAGGTTATATGATAT